TGGATATTTATGTTAAGGATATTGTAAAAGTGTATTGGTGTGTGTGTGCGCGTATACGTATTGCGTATACGTAATATGCGGGTGGCCCTGCGGCTCTGTTTTGTTGTTGGTTTGGGTTGTTTACTTTTATTGGCTTTCGGTATTATTGGTTATTGGCAGGGAGAAGGATGGGGATTCGAGGTAGTATACAGTTTGGCAAAAGGTACGCGTGCCTGTCTAGCTGCCTGTTATAATTTAACTTTTATTTCTCTATTTATGGCTTAATAAGACACACGTTCACGAGGCTTGTCTTCCAAAGCCATGGATGCTTATCGGGCACTTAAGCCAACAACTTTTTTACGGCCCGGTCAAGATAAACGTTTATTTAATTGCCGCACACGAAACTTTCACGGCGATGACAAAACACCATCCCCCGTTTATCAATGGCAATAAATTTATATTTGCCTATGGTAATAATTAGCTCATTGAATCTGCCAGACCCGCACAAGTGATTTATCATGTCCAATAAGTGTCCAAGTCAATGAAAACTTATGTTTGAGCCCTGCCACTTGTAATGCATAAATATAAATTCCCTCCCTTCTGCAATTTTTCATGAGCCCTGAAGTTAAGGTGATTGCGGAAAATGTATTACTTAAGAAGAGAATGTCCTGGGGCCAGATGCAAAGTTATTTTATGTACTTGCCCTATATAGGAGAGAACATTTAAGTTAAATTTCACCATTTTTAAGTTGCATATTTTAATTCATATTGATTTACTTACCTTTTAATGGCCTCAATGAAAAGCAATGGTATTTTTTTTTTTGTTTTTATCTGTTCGTTATTTAAGATTGGTGTTTGATTTTAATTTAATGTTTAATTAGAATTTCAGGTAAATAAGGTTTCTGAAATATTCTAATATTAATTTTTTCATTATAAATTAATAATTCATTTTTTCGATAAGCCAAAACGATTGAGGGGTCGTTAGCATTGCTACTGACCGAACAGTTAATAAAATGCCGTGACGTTCTTTTGGCATATTTTAAGTTCCCCCAGCAGGAAAGCCTCACTTAAAGTCAACAACAAATGGCAGGACAAATGTTGACAAAGGAAAGCAACAAATAACAAACAACAGCCGGTGAAGTGGCCCTTGACGAAAATGAGAGCGAACTGGGGTCGGCGCAGTTGAAAGGATGCAGCCGAGCAAATAGCGTGGGAGCACGGACTAGGCCTAGTTTGGGACTCCGTGCATCTGACCACAGGTCGCGGCTAAGAGGGAAAAGCCGGGAGAAACGTATTCCCCAGGTTTTCCTGCGAGCCTTCTCCTCGGGCCAAGCCTCTTGAGAAATAACGCTTAGCTTCTGCTCTTGCTTTATATTTTTCTGGCATTTTGCTCGGAGTTCCCCCACTTCAGTCCCCAGCTGTTTTCCCTCTTTTTTTCGTTTTTAGCTGGTAAAGTCTATTATGCTTGCGAAAATTGCTTTACAGCTGCAAAACAATGCGGCAAAAAAGGTTACACAGCACAAAAAGAAATACACACTAAAATGAATAATGACAGCGAAGTAGAGGGAATGGTCTAGAGATTACTTTTAACTCCCTGGGCCTTTTAGTAATGGAATGGTGGAACCTGAATGCTCTTTCGGAGATGGGTAATAAAGTATATTTCAACTTCAAGTTCATCATAATAACGAAAAGAATGAATCTGAAATAAGAAATATCTAAAAGATTGAATTCCATATTAACTTTGTATGAATAATTTCTTAAAATCTTTGAGTTATTAAATAATTTCTTCGGAAAAAACATGGTTTTTTTTGGCAGACTTAAGAAATGTCTGAGACATAATCACCGATCCCCCGAGTAAGGGTATTAAAGGGGATTTTACTATCAAAGTCTCCGAACAGCAGCAGTGAAATAATATTTGGCCCAACCTCAAGGGGCAGGAAATCGGGTGGGGAAGTGCAGCTAAAATAATTTGCGCATAATGAAGCCGGAAGTGTGAATGCAAAGAATACAAGGAAAGTGGAGGAAAGAACTTCATTATCTGCGCCAAGCAGCTCGTCCTGCAAGAAGAAGTGGAAATTCAGGCTTGTTCGAGCCATTCAAGCAGGGAAAATTACACAAAAATCTTTGCTGGGATTTTCTAATTAAAGTTTCAGCAAACGAAACGCGGCGCCAAAGTGAAATTAATGGCGCTTGCCATTTTGGCCAGACCGGGTTTTCCCATTTTGCCCTATTTGCTTGTGAGTGTGTGTGTGTGTGTAAGTGTTTGGCGTTGGCTTTATGAAGTCAACGATGGCAGCAATTTTGGCCACTTAATCTGTTCTCTCAGTCGAACTCAGCTTTTTCTGCTTTTCTGCTCTTCTAACGCCTCGATGTGTGCGTAATTTATTTGCAATCAATGCGGCCGTGAAAGGACATTATTTTTACATTAAAGCAAGGGCTAACTGTGTGTGCGAGTGTGACTACACAAAGTTGGCCAAAAATCCGTGCCAAAAACAAAGTCGGCTTCCATTTGGCAGCTGTCACATAATACATCTCACAACGCGCAGGCATAAATAATGCCAGAGACTTATGGACTTCTAATAGGAACAGATTACTCTAAGTTGGGTCGACTAAATCTGCTCTTAGGATTTTGCGCGTCGTTTTTTTTGTGCAAAATAAAGCTTTTGTCGGATTAAACAATTTTACTTATCGGATTGAACAAATAATTGCGGTTCTTCAGTAGTAAATAAATTAAATTCACTTTTTGCTCATTAAAAATAAAATTGATTTATTTTAAGGCCCAATTTTGGATTCTGTACATCGTCATCCAAATATATACGGACTTCTTTTAGTGTATCCCCAAAGAACACATTATCTCAGCAGAGGTTGGATAAACTATTTGTGGGAATCATCTGTGACATGTGAGATCTCACATTTGTGTGTTTTCATACACCACGTTAATGTGAGTTTCATTAGGCTGAGCCAACCGCTTTCTACCACCACAACCCCCTTCCATCAACATCGGCCATTGCTCCCAGGGTTTTGTCTGTGTTAGAGTGTCTGTGTTAGAAGGAACTGACAAACTCCGTGGAAAGTTTTTCGAACCCCTGGCACGTATCGTGTGTCATAAGCAGGGAAAGCGGCTTTCGGTATTCGGGAGCTTCAACTGCAAACTGCAGCGGACACTGCAGTTGTGCAGTTGGAAATAAAATTATTAACCCCGCTGCAATGCAACATAAATAGGATTAGTGTCTGCAGCAACAGCACGAGGAGAACAAACACGACTTGGACGGCGAAGGAGACGCCGGAGAAAGGCCACAACAAAGGCAGCCAGCAGCATTTGCATTTGCATGTTGCATACTTCACGGCGTAGTGCTCACATATGATAAACGGCAACGACAATGCCACAACCACAAGCACACAAACACACTCGTATCTTTATCTGTATATATGTCTGCGGGTATTTCCCTTTTTCAGTATTTACTTCGTACTCGTACTCGTTTTGTCTTTGTTTTGGCCGGGCAAAAATGCAGCTGAGTATTTTCAGTTACATGCAAAAACTTCATTTCATTTCTGCGGCTGTCGTCCAGTATATTGACCCCTAAACGCCCTCCCCACACACACACACTCACTCACACATACAAACAAAACATTAGTGACAAAGCCATTCCATTTTGCTCACACCCCCATCCATTTCAACACCATCGCGGTTTTTGCAAGCATTTTGTTTGCTTTGCGGCTTCCGGTTTCTGTTGCTCGTACTCTTTCTGCTTCTCTTCCGAATCCGGCTTTAAAAATTCCACAATCGAACCGAAAATGCTAACTGCTCTGGGCCCCATTGAGTATTTGTCCAACCGGCCGGTTTAATTTAAATATGAATGCGCCATTACTTGATAATTAAGCCATCGACGGATGGACTTGCCCGCCAGGTATTTGCAACAGTGCCACTTGAAATCGAATCGTGAATTCCCATGAAGTGCCAGCGGCTAGTCAACGAGTTGATTTCGACTGCGAAAACTGAGAAAAATCGCCTGTCATAAAATAAATTGTTTGTATTTTTCCCATTTTTGTTAAATTCAGTTTTGGCGTTGTTTAAGTATTTCGCGTGGTCACCCTTTAATTTTTGACCAAATTCAATTTGAAAATTAACACTTTAAAAAAATCGTAAGTGGAGTTTCCACGAAAGGGTATTATATTATTATATTCAACTTCGTTTTAATTAATATTTTTTTCTCCTACTTAAATATTTCCACAAATTTAAATTTTAATTTCGATCTTAAGTAACTCAAAATTTGACGTTGTAGCAGGTACCACACGAAAGAGCGACCAAGATAGAAACTCTGCAGCCATGTGGTTTGGGCTTGAAAAATTAACGCGGAAATGCCAAAATGTTGTGCATACGCCCCGTTGCTTGCATGCAAATTCCATATATTAAGGCATGAAAAAGGGGGTATCGCGCAGAGGGGGGCTAAAAGCGGGAACTTGTTGTGTTTGGCTTGCATGGTCGACGGCCATAATTGCAACATGCCGCACAAACTCACACGCGCAGCGCAGTGGGCGACTTGGGACCTTAGCCAAGTCAAACAAACCGCGAGGCACAACCAAAAACAAGGCAACAAAAAAATCTCGAAAAAACAGAAAACGAAGGAATGCCAAATTTCTAGCCGTACTAAAGTGAAAAAAGGCGAAAGGAGAAAGGGAACTTGGATGTGGAACTCCTGACAGAATGGTGTTATGACTTAATGTTGGCAAGTGCGAGTGGCGGTTGTGGATCACTCAAAGAAAAATTAAAAATGGTTTTTTTAACCATATTTTTATATATTTTTATATTTTATTTTTATATATAATACTTAAAATAATCATTACAGAATATAAAATTTAATTAATTGTGAAAAAATTGTTATATTCGAAAAGAACTATCAAATTTCTTTCGGTGCATTAAATAGAATATGTAAAGACCCTTTCTGTAGCTCATTAAACTGTCCGCAGTTCCGAGTTTACGATAGCCGCACTAACTTTTTCCCAATTTCCGGTTCGTTGCAGGCTTAAGGCGGCACATTGACGGGATCGGCATACTCATCCGGAATCATTCTAGTCCGAGTATGCAATGGCAGCGGGAAGAGCAGCCGCGACGCTGGAGGCTCCGGGTCCGCCCAGCGGTCAAGACATAGCCAGCGACAACAGCGCCCAGCGGCGAACGCTGGCAACGAAGGTGCGGCGAAAAGGGCCACGCCCACAGCGGCGCCTGCATCCGCCTTTGCGTCCCCGCCTGCCGCTCCATGGGCACCTGCTACTGTGGCTGCTGTGCTGCTGCTGCCAACTGGGCCAGCTGAGGGCCGAGTGCCCGGCGGTGTGCGAGTGCAAGTGGAAGAGCGGCAAGGAGTCCGTCTTGTGCCTTAACGCCAACCTAACTCACATCCCACAACCGCTAGACGCGGGCACCCAGCTGCTGGATCTAAGCGGTAATGAGATCCAATCGATACCGGACGACAGCTTTGCAGCGGCCCAGTTGCTCAACCTGCAAAAGGTTTACTTGGCCAGGTGTCACCTCCGACTGATCGAGCGTCATGCCTTTCGCAAGCTGATAAACCTGGTGGAGTTGGATTTGAGCCAGAATCTTCTCTCGGCAATACCTTCGCTGGCCCTCTACCATGTCTCGGAGCTAAGGGAATTGCGGCTCAGTGGCAATCCCATACTGAGAGTACCGGATGATGCTTTCGGTCATGTCCCACAACTGGTGAAGCTTGAATTGAGCGACTGCCGGCTATCGCATATTGCGGTGCGGGCCTTTGCCGGACTGGAAAGCAGTCTAGAATGGTTGAAACTGGACGGGAATCGGTTAAGCGAGGTTAGGAGTGGCACCATTACCTCGCTGGCCTCACTTCATGGCCTGGAACTGGCCCGCAATGCCTGGAACTGCAGCTGTTCCTTAAGACCTTTAAGAGCCTGGATGCTACAGCAGAATATACCAAGCGGCATACCGCCAACCTGTGAGTCCCCTCCAAGATTGTCTGGCAGAGCGTGGGATAAACTCGATGTGGATGACTTTGCCTGCGTTCCACAGATCGTGGCCACAGACACAACGGCCCATGGAGTGGAGGGAAGGAACATAACTATGAGCTGTTATGTGGAAGGAGTGCCACAACCTGCTGTCAAGTGGCTGCTGAAAAACCGATTGATAGCCAATCTAAGTGCTGGCGGAGATGGGGACTCCGACTCGGAACCTAGGACTGCAGCAGCTACTCAGGGAAGGAAGACCTATGTGGTCAATATGCTGAGGAATGCCTCGAACTTGACCATTCTCACGGCCGACATGCAAGATGCAGGGATCTATACATGCGCGGCGGAAAATAAGGCTGGAAAAGTAGAGGCCAGTGTAACTTTGGCTGTATCACGGCGACCACCGGAAGCTCCGTGGGGCGTCAGGATAATCCTCCTTGGCGTTATAGCCGCATTACTCTTGGTCGGAGGATCGTCCTTTGCGGCCATTTGTTTGTGTTCCCTGCAAAGGCGACGAAAGCTGCGACTCTGGAACTCTGTACCGCCTGTGAGGAGAAGTGAGAGTTACGAAAAGATCGAGATGACGGCCAGGACGAGACCGGATCTGGGCGGTGGAGCCAGTTGTGGCGGGGGCAGTGCAACGGGCGCCGGACTTTTTCACGATGCCGAGGAACAAGGCTACTTGCGGGCAGCTCACACCCCTCTTAATGACAATGATGCGGGACAGGTGGCGGCCATTGTGAATCCGAGTGCAGGAAGTGCCCAGCGGAGAAACGGTGACTACCTGCACGTGTCTACCCACTGCGACGACGACGAGGAGGAGCAGCAGCAGCTGCATCACCATCCACAGCACCAGTCAGGGAATCAGCACCACCCACATCCCAATCAGCAGCAGCAGAGGAAGGGTTCCCAGGGCCATGTTGCCTCCGCATCCGGGGCGAATAATTCAGCACCGATGGAGGAAACGGATCTGCACATACCGCGCCTCATCGACATCGGCGGGTAAGTTGACCTACACTGCAAGAAAATTATGGAACTTTCTGATAGAGTTTGTTTTTTTAACTTAATTAATTATTTAATTTATGTTTTTTTAATTTTATAGCCTATTAGGATCTGTATTTTAAGTACAATATTTAGAGATCTTATTTTACTGTTCCCTGTTTTTTTGTATCAGTGTATGGCTCGGGTGCCCTTTGTTTCTGCGGTTCTCGTTACTTCGAGTGGCAATTGTCCCCCGACCGGGCGTCCGTGTCCCTGTCAAAGAGCTGTCATGCTCGAGTGCGGAACGCGCCCGGATCTCCGTATTGCGTCCGTATTATGGGCAACACTTGACACTTCCACTCTGAGCTCAAGCCCCTTATCCAAAGGCCCCACCCATTGCCCATTTACCTCCATCTCCGGCAACTGAGAGAACGCGCGTGCTAATGACGCGCGAAATATGCGAGCACATCCACATTCAACATCCTACCTCCCACATTCAACCTGCAAGACCACATCCACATCCATGAGCCCGAGAAGTGCTTTATTTCGGGCACACTGAGAATTCACTTTGCTTGATTGGCGCTTGTCATGTGAAAGAAATCCTACCGCGGATACGAGTACGAGTACGGGTTAATGGATGTGCGGCCGGTTATCTTCATGGACGAGGACACTGCCGAATAACGAGAATCTGAAAAGTCAAGCACTCAACGAATATGGGATAGGGACAAAGATAGGGCCTTTTCTCACAGACACAAGAGAAAAAATTCTTTTATTTTCTTTGTAATGAATTATAGGGAATATTACTCCTTAACTAACGAAAAGTTACTTTTCCTTGTATTATTTTTACATAACAAATTTTTATCAGACGATTGTATAATAATAAACATTTTATTTTTTTCCTTAGTACGGATTCTGCCTCGAGTTCTATCTCCAGCCAGGTGGATGCCGCTGCACGCTTAGCGGGCTATGCCGGACACACCTGGAAGACCACACCCATTGCCACCACCAAGATTAATTCGCCGCACAGCAAACCGGCCACCTCTGCGGCATCGTCGTCACTGAATCCTCCTGGCACGTCGACGGCCTACGCCCACTATGGCAATCATCCGCCGGACGAGATGGCTAAATCAGTGTTCTGCAGCGAAGGGCAGGAGAGCGATCTCTTCGATAGCAACTATCCGGATCTGCTGGACATAGCTAAGTACGCGGTGGCTCAGGCGCAACAGGAAGGTCGGGGGCAGGGCTACGGCCAGGTCACCCCCACTCCGAACGGCGGTCTGTGCACCCTGCCCCGAAAACTGAAGACCAGTGGGAAGTACTTCCGCAACTCGTCGGACAGTCAATCGCCCCTGCTGGCGGATAACTCCAGCAAATACGGGAGTAGCACCCTGGGCGACGGAAGTTTTCTAAACGAAGCCATGGGTCTGGGTCGGAGATATTCGGCTGAGTCAAGTTATGCGAACTATTCGAGCACGGCCACTTATACGGGCGGTGGCCAGCGGGCTAATAGTTTCCTAAATCTGGTGCAAAGTGGTGCCCACAAGGGCAATCTGATGCCGGGTCATCTGGGCCAAAAACCCAGCCTGCCCTCTAGTCCTGTGCAGCATCAGCGGTCCCTATCAAGTGCAGCCACTCCCCTTCTGGACTTCTCTGCCCTAGCTTCACGGGCCGCCGGCGCAGCCAATTCCTCGGTGGCTGCCTATGATTACCATGCTGCTCAGTTGGAGCGGTTTCTGGAGGAGTACCGCAACCTGCAGGATCAGCTGTGCAAGATGAAGGAAACCTGCGATACGATCCGTAAAAAGGAGACTCCACTGCGAGTGGCCATTGGCCAGTCGGCTGCCCAGCTAGCGGATCCCGTGATGTACAGTGCAGCCTCGCATAGTTCCGAAAACCGCCGGCGGCGAGCAATCTAAAGGCCAAGACCCTGCTCCCGGGACAACCACCAGATCCACCACCCTACTGGTTGCACCGCAACGCCATGTTGAAGCGGTTGAACGGAGATGGCAGTGGCGGGGCGAATGGGTCAGGTGGATCCCCAGCCTCCCCACAGCCCGGACAGGATATTTTCAAGAGCTAATCGCAATCGTGTACAGCCGGAGGATTGAGTGATGGGAGCAGAAGGAAAATCGAGTGTCTTCGGCACGCCGAAGATGGCATAAGTTTGCAAGAACTTAAAGAATGGATTATTCATGATAAAAATATGAAAATTGGGGAAATATATTAAAATAAAACTTAGTTATTGCAAGCTCCTGCCCGTCGATCTAAATGCATTTGTCTGGATAGTTAGTTAGGACTAGGTAGCTGGAGGACATTCAACTGGTTCGATACCCAGCCCCTCTGTTGTATTATAGAAACACTTTTCCACTCTTTATACTCGCTACTATGCAATATTAAACACTATCCCGAAAAGCGGAGGACATAACAACATAAGACATTGTAAGTGTATAGGCAGCAAAACCCTTAGCAAAAAAAGACACTATCTCGAACACAACCTATCGGAACCCAATCCTAAAACCCCCAAAAAAGCTCTCGTGTTAGTCTAACTACAAGTGTTTTTGTACTTTAAGCGATCTCAATATAAACAAGGATAATATAGATGACCTTAAATATCATAAGTATGAGTTGGCACAGACTGCAGATCGATAGATTGACGTATTGTTTGATTGTTAGATGTTTGTTTTTCAGTTCCGCAGTTCAGGTCACAAATTGTAAGCCAATTAGATCCAAACTCTAAATTGTAATTTACAAAACAAAAACTAAAAACCGAAAACGTAAAATAGGGTGTCACTAAAACTAAAACTTGAAAGCATTTCACCCAAGCAAACAAAGAGAAAGCAAAAATAAAATTAGTTGAGAATTGAAAGAAAAAACAAAGAAGAGCATAGCGAGTTTTACTGGATCGAATGGGTTTCTTCAGGGGCGTGCAAATGTCCACTTCCGGGGTTGAAGGCAAGTAATTGTCGCTTGTCGTGCCACATTCACTTTTCGCGGGGGCGTTGGTCAAGATTAAACAATAATTTCGTACCGAAAAATGTGCGGAAGTGGGCGTGGTAGAGACTTCCCCCCATATATAGCGAAACTACGCCAATTGGTTCGGAGCACATTTCTTTTATTTTCGCCTCGCATTCCGGCTGCCAAATGAAGTTGTAAAATGCAAATGAAGCCGTCGCCGTAGTCACATGCGCGTTAAAGTTCATGTTCGATGTGATGTCGCCATAAAGCAGGATTAAAACGAATTTATGAACCTTTGGCACGACGACAACGACGACATGATAGCCGTTTTATACCATTCCCCACACCATATTCTTCGCACTCAAACGCACACCGACACACGAACGTATATACAATGTCACACAGGGGAGAGAGTATGACTTTGTCTTTGGGCCGCCGGCATTTGTATGAAAAACGTTGCCTACTTTTCCGGGTAACATTGTATAAAATGAAAATCGCCTCGGCAATCCTGAATCTGGGACTATCCTCCTGTGGCCTCGGTCATCAATAGCTCATTTGGGCCTTGTGCTCATAAGCTCATAAATATTTAAGGCTCGTCTTAAACATGCGTAAGTTGTAAATATTTTAAGGTCGCAAACCTGACGAAATGTAAAATAAAAATACAATTTACAATGTCAGAAAATTTGGCAATCTTTAACTTTTTGTTATGTATAATATTTTGAAAATTAAAGTTTATTAAAGAAATTAAAGCAGTTTTTAAATATTTTAATTTTACTACTTTAATGCCCTTATTATATGCCCTGCTTTTGCGACCATTTTATCAGTTAATTTCTTTCTGTGATCTCAATTTCGTTCCGTTCGCCTTGATTTATACGTGAATAACATGTAATTAAGCTATGACTGGCTGATAAAACTCTCGGCTGGATTATGAATTTCGAGCACGCAGACGTGTCAGAAGGCAAAAGTAACCAAAAATGGTTGGCCATTTAAGCGGACTCCATCTGCCGGAGGGCGAGTTGGTTAGTTGGACAGTTACTTACTGAGAACCGGGCCCAGATCCATGACCAGCTCTTTGCGGTTTGTCGGCTTTAAAGAGCGAAGCCATTTACATCCCCCTTTTTTTTGACCACCCACCTGACCGCCTACTGCTCGGCTAAAGCGAAAATAATGAGCCTGATGTTGGAACTCAGCGTGAAGCAGAGTAAAGAGCAACAACGTCGAGAGCAGTCGAGTTCATGTCAAGCTGTCAGTCAAGGTCGATTTCGTTTCCCCATCCCTACTCTTGCCGTAATCCTTCCCTGCACCTGTCAGTGGCAAAAAGAAGCGGGAGGAGGGTGGCAGTGGGAGTGGGAGGAAGGTCGGCAAGTGCCCTTTTGTCACTGTCTTGCGGCTGCCAGTGCAATTTTTATATGTGGCCAGCACAGGGTATTAGGGATATACGAGACGTGATGTATTTTGAATATAGTATACAGTACAGTATTTTAGTTTTCTTAAGGCCCTAAAAATAAGTAAAAACTATATTTAAGTAAAGCTTTAAATGTCCATAAAAGTAAATATGGGTAAATATTACTAACCCATGACTTTTTGAACAAATTGATGAAGGAATTTTTAGCTGAGTACCAACTAGTTGACTCCCTGTAGATGATAGAGCGATGAGCGAAGCTAACGGAGCAATGTGTGTTATGTGTATGTGCCGAGGGAATTTTTCCATCATTATCAGTGTCCTTGTAGCCGCTTCCACATGCCACTTAATGCCAACGCACCAGCAGAGGCAGCACTCGTTCCACTTTTGCATGTCGTCGTCGTCATCTTGGCGGCCTTTGTGGTAGCATCACACAACTGCATACCACCCACTTTCCACCGCCTGGCGTCCAACCACTTAGTCACCCCACCTTCCAGCCATCTCCAATGCCATTCTTCAAGCCTCCCACAACGGCCATTATATTCAAGCATTTTCGTGGCATAAGTTGGCACTTTAGCGCCAGGCAGCTGCTACCTGTTTCACTTTTTCAGCTCTCCCGTATTTTTTTGCTGCCGTTTTCTTTATTTTTACCCAGCATCAATTCACATTGTACCCAATTTTTTAGATGGGAAAGTAACAATTCCTACATGATCGTACGGGCATCGATTGCTTTTGGAGGAAGAACTGAACCATTCGAGCTACCATATTCAACCACAAAATGCCAATTGATGGCCTTGAGACTGTGATGAATATTTCTTATTACACAGAAAAATATGATAAGTGGTTAGTATTGAATATTGTAAGAAAATATTATTCGTTTCAATAAAGAAAGAGTGTAGAAAAAATGTTATTGGTTTACATAACAACCATTGATAAATATTAAACATTGCGCTTTCGAATGAATTTTAATTTATTATTTTTCCTGTCTGTCATTTTATTTACAATTGGTCACATTGGCAATCAATATGGTAGAAGCAGGAAAGAGACCAAATAGGATGCCTCCTGCTTAATGTGCTGCTGCCTGTTCAGATTCCACTCCTTCCCTTGGACTCCGTTGCTGTCGTACTTTTTAATGGATGTTGCATTACTTTCCGAGGCAGCTGTACGAACAAAAAACTTTTCCAACGGCGAAAATTGAAAAATAGTTTCGACCCCCGCTCGCAAACGAAACACAAGCGAGCTTGGTAAAAGTTGCACCCGAAAAGTTAATGGCAATTGCATTTATTGATTAGCCAGCCAGGAGCGGTATATATCAAGTTTGCCCTTAAATGCCACTTGGATTTAATTTTCCTGTTTGGCTAAGCCAACAGATATTGTCCTCTCGACCGCAAGTTCAACAAGTCAACGCATCAATGTCAAATAATCCTTCGCTCGAAAAAGAAACTTGGGGGCAAGGCACGGGGTATATCGGGCATTCAGTGCGCCTGCGGTTAAGAGGGAGCGCAAGGACACCGGTGACATAAAACAAACTCAAGCTGCAGTGTCACGACCACGCCCCCTATTCCCCCACGTACCACCCCCTTAAGTGCTGGTAATGAGCGCACTGATAATTCATTAAACAAAGCGAGCAAAAAATAAAAGAGAAGACGACGGCCCCAAAAAAAGCAAAAATCCGAGAGCTAAAGGCTGGTGGAAAAATGTCAAGGATAATGTGCCAGCGCTCTGCTGCCGGAAATGAAATGGTAGGACGATTTAAGCCTTAATTTTCTGTTTGTCGAAAGTTTTGTCTTGCCTGAACTCATTTAGAAATGTCAAAGATTGTTTAATTGCTTTAAAATGTCAATTAAGTTTGATTTGTCTTTAATTTTGTCTTTCTGTGTTTTATGAAAAAATTCAATTTAAAACTAATAGCGAATGTAAACTAAACTCATATTTAAAGAGCACGATATGAAAAATTTTTGTGGTTGGCACATACTCTTGAAAAAGTTCCAAAAGATATTAAAAGAGTATTGGAAGGTCCAGGAACCTCCGAAGCTTCGCCAAGATATACCATCAACACTTTTCCCCAAGAATTTTTTGCCTCTGGCCAATCTAGGCCAATCTAGACCACACCTGGCGACTGTCACTGAGGGCCAAAAGCCGAAAACGGGCTAAGCTCTCAGCCCTGCCAATTCCTCAATGCCGAGCAATTACAAAGGCCGAAAGCTGGGAGCCACTTTAATGCAAACTTTTGCCGGGCGCTTAGCGGTTTTTGGCCAACTTGCAGTGGGTAATCAGCCATGTTATGGCAGGGTCCACTCCACAGCTTCTATAGCGGTTACGGTTTGCTAGAGGTTCGAGCGGATTATGGCCTTGCAGTGCACTTGAAATTTGTTGTTTGCCAGCAACAGGATAATCTGACGGGCATCCTTTTCTCTGGCTCTCTTTTTTTTTGCGGCTCTATCTGGCAATGTTGTGTGTTTGTATTGGTTTCGTCGCCTCCGTTTGTTTGAGTTCCGTCGAAAACAAAAAAGCTCAAATTGTGGCCCCAAAAACTTTGTCCCAGGTTTTTGTCCGCCGCAGTTATTCGCCGCTTTTGTTTGCGGCTCAGCTGCATCGCCTGGCTTTGTTGGCCAGCTTTTCAGTGGCTTCATTTTTACCCGGGCACCACTTTAATTAAGCGAGCCGAGTTAAATGCGAGCTCTACCCAAAAAGTGTCAATCAGTGCGCGGTATCAAGATTGCACTCTTCACAGCACTTTTGGCCAGCGGAAAAAATATATCCACTCCATCCACCTAATAACAAAATGGTGCGGGAGTGGAATGCAATTGTTGCGCTTGAAATTCATTTGAATATTCTGCGCGGTAGTGTGTGCATTTAAATTGAATTTTATGAAATTGTTGCCAAAGCGAAGGGCGAAAAAACGCCGGCCACGCCAGAAAGCGCAGTGAAAGTATAGACTTTGAAATATCCTTCTTAAAGGTTGTTTTTTTTATTTATAAATAAAAATATATTCCATATTGCTAAATTTCTTATGTAAAGATTTAACATTAATTGTCTTAAATATATTGCTTTATATAAGGTAATTAAATTCCCAAATTATCAACAAGCAAATCGCCTTAATCCTCGATAAGTATTATAAAGTAGTCAATCATGAAATCTGCCTTGATTTCCAACTTCTCATCTTTGCTGCCTTCATGTATGCAAGACTAATATATGAGTTGAAAACCAAGTGAAAGCTGAGAGCTGCCCGCTTTTGAGGTAACCAAATGTGTTGCGGACAGTTCGCAAATATACTAGTAGTTTGCTGTAGCAGCCAGAATTGCCGGAAGCGCAACACTCTGCGCCAAATGTAAGGCACCACCACCCCTCATGTCAAAAAACATATATAGAAGTTTACATATATATGCAGGGC